TTAGGGTTTTGTACAGTAGGTTTAACCTAAATAGATTGATAAGCTATTTTGTGTCCATGTCGCTTATTTGTAACCTTTATTTGTGCATTGTCTTTTCTCTTCCAGTCAACGATGGTGAAAGTAGCGTCGTGAAAAGCAATTCTTCAGATTTAGCGTTGGTAATAGCTGGGCCGAGGGCTGGTCGCCGCATGGGTGGCTACGTCGACTTTAAGCTGGCGAAGAAGCTTTTTGGCAACGTATCGCCAGACGAGGCTGCTCAAAACATGGCTAATCGTCTGACCGATCTCAACCGCAATATGGAAGAGACCTGCAAACATCACTGTTGGTGCGCCATTGATTGCGTTGCAAATACGGTTCGATACCGCTTTATCGAGTCCAACGGACCACGTCTGCAAACCGTCACGGAGGACACGCCACTTGTTGATAGGTATTTGTTCCCACTAATTCGAGTTTCTAGCATCTTCAAAGTTTTCTTGAAACCCTCTCTGTGTGTGCGTAACAGTATGGAACTGCACAGGCCTATTCATGTTGGCCTCTTCTTCTTAGATTTAAATTGCTTAGAATTACTGTCAGCCTGCCAGAGGAGAGAATTTGAATATGCCTGGGTTTCTGTTCCTTATCTGCTTGGTCGCTTGTATTGAGTTTGAAACGTGTTTATATTTCAGATACTTTGTGTGGCCTGTGAGGGAAATAAACGATGTCAAAGAAGCTGAGGAGTTGGTTGTAAGTAACAAGGCTGCCCATATTATGGCCTGCAACGGCTGGGTAATGAACGCGGATCCACTGAAGAATTTTGCCGATCCCGACTCTGATGTCTACGTTAGGCGTGAGCTTGTTGTCTGGGGCGACTCTGTGAAGCTCAGGTAAGCAGAAGGCAAATAACTCTTTTAACCTTCGTCAACATAGTAAAGCTAATTTTTGGACTTTACAATGCTTTACAATACTGCGGCCGTTTCAGCGCTATATCTTCTATTGAAACCTTTTAGTGACACTGAAAACCATATTTTTTTCAAAGTTTTCTGTTCTACGACCTGCCAAATTTTGATATTATTCACTGGCAATAAAGACCAGTTAAATTTTAGAAGAGTATAGGAAAGCAGTCCAGTGTGTTTGATTACAATCTTCGGTTTGGTTTATATCTGTGTGTTTTTTTATACATTCACGCCTACTTCGTGTGTAGACTCTTTCTGTAAGTTATCATATTCCATTGGAACCAGAGTAACTTAGTTAATGCAAACATTGACTTCGAACCCTAGGGAGTACTTTCTGTTATATTATAAAATTAAACGCCGAATATTTCTTAATTGCTTTAGATATGGTGACCGTCCTGAGGCCTGTCCGTACTTATGGGATCGAATGCTGACCTACGCCAAGATCTCCGCAAAGATATTCCACGCCATTCGTTTAGACAACTGTCACAGCACCCCCATTAATGTGGCTCAAGCCATGTTAGATGCATGCCGCGAAGTTCGTCCCAATGTATTCATTCTGGGCGAACTTTTTACCGGAAATGAGGGCTCGGATAACGTATTTATAAATAAACTTGGCATCAGCGCGTTGGTCAGAGGTAATTTGTTGCCCTCACTTATATCGCTATATTCTACTATCACTTTTGAATGTTCTGCCTAACCTGGAGTACGAGGGATTGCAAATACCAAAATAACTATTCCCGCTTACTGAACGTTGCGCTGTCCTCTTATACATAAACGCCTTAACTATTTACTGTTTAATAAAAGTAACTTTTTAATCAAAAGGTTCATTGTGCTAAAAACTGTTATAATTGAGGAAGATTTACATGACAGGAGGCACAGGTTACACCATGGCTTCACTCTGTACCATTTTATTTGACCGTAATACTAATGGTTGGTGCATGCCAGGAAGCAGTTATTGTTAATATTCGGCAGCGACTTCCAAAAAATCATGCGAAGGCAAGAGAAAAATGCTGTGATGGTAGACCAATCTTTCG